CACAGTTAGGGGGAACACTTTCTTGAAATTATTATGAGGGATCATCTTATTTACTACCATCGTTCTAAGTAAACAAGATGCAAAAGCATGATAAACATCACATGCAATCAAATAATAATAGTGACATGATATGGCCAATATCACATAGCTCCTTTGATCTCCATCTTGGGGCTCCATGATCATCTTGTCACCGGCATGACACCATGATCTCCATCATCATGATCTCCATCATCGTGTCTCCATGAAGTTGCTCGCCAACTATTACTTCTACTACTACGGCTAACACGTTTAGCAATAAAGTAAAGTAATTTACATGGCGTTTCTCAATGACACGCAGGTCATACAAAAAATAAAGACAACTCCTATGGCTCCTGCCGGTTGTCATACTCATCGACATGCAAGTCGTGATTCCTATTACAAGAACATGATCTCATACATCACATATATATCATTCATCATTCATCACAACTTTGGCCATATCACATCACAAAGCACTTCCTGCAAAAACAAGTTAGACGTCCTCTAATTGTTGTTGCAAGTTTTACGTGGCTGCAAAAGGGTTCTAGCAAGAACGTTTTCTTACCTACGTAATAGCCACAACGTGATTTGTCAACTTCTATTTACCCTTCATAAGGACCCTTTTCATCGAATCCGCTCCAACTAAAGTGGGAGAGACAGACACCCGCTAGCCACCTTATGCAACTAGTGCATGTCAGTCGGTGGAACCAGTCTCACGTAAGCGTACGTGTAAGGTCGGTCCGGGCTGCTTCATCCCACAATACCGCTGAAGCAAGATAAGACTAGTAGCGGCAAGAAAGTTGACAACATCTACGCCCACAACAAATTGTGTTCTACTCATGCAAGGAGAACTACGCATAGACCTAGCTCATGATGCCACTGTTGGGGAACGTTGCAGAAAACAAAAAATTTCCTACGGTTTCACCAAGATCCATCTATGAGTTCATCTAGCAACGAGTGATTGGATTGCATCTACATACCTTTGTAGATCACGCGCGGAAGCGTTCAAAGAACGGGGATGAGGAAGTCGTACTCGACGTGATCCAAATCACTAGAGATCCTAGCACCGAACGGACGGCACCTCCGTGTTCAACACACGTACGGTCAGCGTGACGTCTTCTCCTTCTTGATCCAGCAAGAGGGAAGGAGAGGTTGATGAAGATCCAGCAGCATGACGCGCGTGGTGGTGGATGCAGGGCGTCACCGCAGCAGGGCTTCGTCGTTATACTGCAAGAGGGAGAGGTGTAGCAGGGGAGAGGGAGGCGCCAAGACTCAAGGGTGCTCTGCCCCCTCCCTCCCTCCCCCCCCCTTTATATAGGCCCCCTAGGGGGGGCGGCCCTAGGAGATGGGATCTCCTAGGGGGGGGCAAGGGGTGGAGTCCCCCCCAAGCCAGGTGGGGCACCCCCCACCCTAGGGTTCCCAACCCTAGGCGCATGGGGTGGGCCAAGGGGGGCGCACCAGCCCACTATGGGCTGGTTCCCCTCCCCACTTTGGCCCATGGGGCCCTCCGGGATGGGTGGCCCCACCCGGTGGACCCCCGGGACCCTTCCGGTGGTCCCGGTACAATACCGATGACCCCGAAACTCTCCCGATGGCCGAAACTGCACTTCCTATATATAATTCTTCACCTCCGGACCGTTCCGGAACTCCTCGTGACGTCCAGGATCTCATCCGGGACTCCGAACAACTTTTGGGTTACTGCATATTCATATCTCTACAACCCTAGCGTCACCGAACCTTAAGTGTGTAGACCCTATGGGTTCGGGAGACATGTAGACATGACCGAGACGGCTCTCCGGTCAATAACCAACAGCGGGATCTGGATACCCATGTTGGCTCCCACATGCTCCTAGATGATCTCATCGGATGAACCACGATGTCGAGGATTCAAGCAACCCCGTATACAATTCCCTTTGTCAATCGGTACGTTACTTGCCCGAGATTCGATCGTGGGTATCCCAATACCTCGTTCAATCTCGTTACCGGCAAGTCACTTTACTCGTACCGTAATGCATGATCCCGTGACCATACACTTGGTCACTTTGAGCTCATTATGATGATGCATTACTGAGTGGGCCCAGAGATACCTCTCTGTCATACGGAGTGACAAATCCCAGTCTTGATCCGTGTCAACCCAACAGACACTTTCGGAGATACCCATAGTACACCTTTATAGTCACCCAGTTATGTTGTGACGTTTGGTATACCCAGAGCACTCCTACAGTATCCGGGAGTTACACGACCTCATGGTCTAAGGAAAAGATACTTGACATTGGAAAAACTCTAGCAAACGAACTATACGATCTTGTGCTATGTTTAGGATTGGGTCTTGTCCATCACATCATTCTCCTAATGATGTGATCCCGTTATCAATGACATCCCCATGTCCATAGCCAGGAAACCATGACTATCTATTGATCAACGAGCTAGTCAACTAGAGGCTCACTAGGGACACATTGTGGTCTATGTATTCACACATGTATTACGATTTCCAGATAATACAATTAAAGCATGAACAATAGACAATTATCATGAACAAGGAAATATAATAATCATTTTATTATTGCCTCTAGGGCATATTTCCAACAAAGGCTACGATGGAATTACTCACGCACGGCGGTGAGCATCATGAAATTGGTGATGGAGGAAGGTTGATGATGACGATGACGACGGATTCCCCTCTCCGTAGCCCCGAACGGACTCCAGATCAGCCCTCCCGAGAGGTTTTAGGGCTTGACGGCGGCTCTGTATCGTAAAACGCGATGAATCCTTCTCCCTGATTTTTCTCTCCCCAAAAGCAAATATATAGAGTTGGAGTTGAGGTCGGAGGAGCTCCAGGGGGCCCACGAGGTAGGGGGCGCGCCCCCACCCTCGTGGCTAGGGTGTGGGCCCTCTGGTCTTCATCTTTTGCAAGGATTTTTTATTATTTCCAAATAGACGTTCCGTGAAGTTTCAGGTCATTCCGAGAACTTTTGTTTCTGCACATAAATAACACCATGGCAATTCTGGTGAAAACAGCGTCAGTCCGGGTTAGTTCCATTCAAATCATGCAAGTTAGAGTCCAAAACAAGGGCAAAAGTGTTTGGAAAAGTAGATACGACAGAGACGTATCAATCCCCGGCCATGCTCTGGCCTTGGTCCGCAATAGGGAGAAAGGCCACACCCTTCTCTATGCCGATTACTTTAAGGATGGTGCACTCTTTAGGCCACATCAATTTCGTCACCGATTCCGAATGAGAAGGCATGTGTCCAATCGTATTTATGAGGGAGTGGTCGTGCATGACCCATACTTTGATTGCAAAAAGGATGCCCTAGGAAAGCTTGGTTTCTCCTCATACCAGAAATGCACTGCGGCTATCCGCATGCTTGCATACGGAATTCCTAGTGATCTTGTGGATGAGTATGTTCGTATGAGTAAGTCCACATGTCTCCTCTCATTGTATAGCTTTTGCATGGCCGTGCTGGAAGTGTTCGGCTCGGAGTACCTCAGAGAGCCAAATGTCGCTGATACAGAGAGGTTGTTGGCAATCGATGCCGAGAGGGGATTTTCGGGCATGCTTGGTAGTATAGATTGTATGCACTGGAAGTGGAAGAAATATCCATTTGCTTGGCAGGGCAGTACAAGGGGCATGTGAAAGGTGCCACTGTTATACTAGAAGTTGTGGCTTCACAAGATCTCTGGATATCGCATTCTTTCTTTGGCATGGCTGGTTCTCAGAATGATATTAGTGTTCTTCAGCGGTCTCCGGTGTTTGCAAGGCTTGCGGAAGGGCACTCCCCAGAGGTGAACTTTGAGGTCAATGGCCACCATTACAACAAGGGATATTACCTAGCTGATGGCATCTATCCTCAGTGGTCCACTCTTGTGAAGACCATAACCAACACACAAGGAGAGAAGAGACAAAGGTTTGCCCAAATGCAACAGAGTGCTAGGAAGGATGTGGAGCGTGCTTTCGGTGTGCTTCAGTCTCGGTGGGGTATCGTTCGTAACCCTGCATTGACGTGGAGCATGAAGAAGTTTTGGGAGGTGATGACTACTTGTGTGATCATGCACAACATGATCGTTGAGGATGAGTGCGATCATAGCATCTACAACCAAGGGTTTGATTTCCAGGGTGAAAATGTTGAGTCTGAGCATCCACCTCATGCAACCTTTGAACAGTTTGTCGAGTTTCATCCGGAGTTGCGTGATTGGCATACTCATGTCCAGCTCTAGGATGACTTGGTTCAGCACGTGTGGACTCACATTGGCAACTAGTAGAACTATGAGTTTAATTCTTATCATGCAAACAAATTTCGATTGGGTTGTAAGACTATTTGATATTGTTTTCTTGCCATGCAAATAAATTTTGATTGGGTTGTAGGACTATTTGGGAGCTATGTTTGATTTGAACCATTTCATATGCATCATTTTCATTTTATCTATTGTGCTAGTGAACGGACGAGATGCAGCCGAAATGCAGCCGTGCGTTGAGCGCGCGTCCACCGCATCTACGAATCCGGACGAACACGGCCCCATTGCCACACCCAAACGAACGAAATTTGGACAAAACGGACGTCCGTTTAAGGTCGCGCGTTGGAGTTGGCCTATCTCTCATTGATAATGGAAAAGATGAAGAGATGATATGGCCCTTTTCATTGGGGCGAGGGCGATGGACGACGTCTCGATAGGACGCGACGCGACACGATGGCGCTGCCAGCTCGGTCAACGGCCAGAACTGCGGTGGCGGTGGCGGCAGCAGTCGGTCGGGTGAAGGGGTGGAGAGTGTGGATTCGGCCGCCAGAGCGTGCATACCGGTTTGGCCCTGGACTTTTTTTAAATAACAAAATCATAAATAAACATAGCTCCTCCCACGAAAGAAAATTACAATAAAGTACTCACACTAACAAAATATGCACTTATAATAAGAACGCAAATGTCAAATGTTTAGTACATTGGTGAAAATAAATCTAGAAAAAGTAGTCAACGGGTAACGAGTTCGTCACGAAGAAAAACTCAAATCCTCCGCGCCTTTCGTCCAAACCGGCACGGCCCTCAGAGGAACGGCGAGCTCTAGCGCGGCGCCAAACCGGTCGCTGAGATCCACATCACCGGGCGCCATCCCATCCGGCAGCCTCCATTCGAACTCGTGGAGCAGCGATGCCAACACCATCGGCACGACCGTCACGGCCAGCGGCATCCCGGGGCACGCCCTCCGCCCCGATCCGAACGGTATGAACTCCAACGCCCTCCCCCGGAAGTCCACCTCCCTGTCCAAGAACCTCTCCGGCATGAACACCTCCGGCTCAGCCCACACCTCGGGGTCCCTTCCGATGGCCCACACGTTGATTAGAACACGGGCGCCCTTCGGCACCGAGCAGCCGCCGAGTGTCACGCCGGTCTCCGACACCTCGTGCGGCAGCAGCAGCGGCGCTGGGGGATGCAGCCGCATCGTCTCCTTCATCACGGCCTGCAGATACGGGAGGTTGGCGAGGTCACCTTCCTCTGCGTTGCCGGATCCGAACGCTTCCCTTAGCTCGGCGCGCGCCTTCGCCATTTTGGTCGGGTTGCGGAGCAGCTCCGCCATCGCCCACTCCACCGTGGTCGTCGTCGTGTGGCTCCCAGCGATGAACAGATCCTGGTTCATGACAGCAAGAGTAATCACTACGGTTACAGCTTTAATTTCATCAGTCATGGATCGTCTCGGAAGATGTTATGTACCGTTAGGAGAGCTCGGATCACCGGCCGCTCGAGCTGGGACTTGGCGGGGAGCTCGAGCAGCGACTCCAGCAGGTCGCCGGGCTTCTCGGCACTGTTCAACCGACGGTCTATGACAGCGTCGAAGAACTGGTAGAATCTGCTGAGATTCGCGGCGACCGCGCGGCGGCGGCGGCTGAGATCTAGCGAGCTGAGGAATGGGAAGAAGTCGGAGATGTTCGGCTTGGCCGTCTCCGCAACAGAGTCTGCGATGAGCTCCATGAACTCCTGCCCGGTCACCGACCCCAGCTCGACGACGTCCTCCGAGAACAGAACGCTGGAGAGCATGTTGAGCACGGCGCTGAACACGGGGAGCGCGACGCGCACCGGGCGGCCGGAGCTCGCGTGTAAGTGGTCAACGAGCTCCCGGGCCTTGCGCTCCTGGATGGCGCGACTGGCGCCGAGCCGCCGGGACGTGAAGAGCAGGGTGCTCGCCACGGTGCGCAGGTGCTTCCACAGCGGGCTGGAGCTCGGGAGCCACACCATGGAGATGCCGCTGTGGCCCATGACGCTGGCGCTGTCGGGGACCCACCGGGAGGAGACGGCACCCTCCTTCTTGTGGAGCGCCTCGTGCGCCGTAGCCGGGGACGACAGCACGACGAGGCTCGCCATGCCGAGCCTCATCGACATGACGGGGCCGTAGGACACCGACAGGCGAGCGAGCGCGCGGTGTAGCTCGCCGCCGCGGACCAGGTCCGGGATGTTGCCTATGACTAGGAACGGCGTTGGGCCCGGCGGCCGTGGCGGTGCAGGCGCACCGGCGGGGGGCTTCGTTGACTTGTGCCATAGGAGGCACAGCAGCGCGATACAGAGCAGCGAGATGCACACTGACAAGGGTGTGGGCTCCATGACTGAATGACACACAAGATCTGAAGATGTATTTTGACTTGTAAGGTTTCGTTGCCAAGATTCCGAGTTATCTCAGTTATGTATGCTTGCAAAATTGCACAACTTGGTGACATCAAAAGGTTGCACGTAACTTGTTTCGCAAGGTTCAAACTTCAAACATCCAAGTACTAAAGATTTTCAATGGGTGCAAGTTGCAAAGCGTGCGCTGTTTCTATCAAGTTGGGAAAGAGAACATGATTTGGCAATGCAGTTTTCTATTGCTTTGAGAAGTCGTGGAAGACAAGTTGATTAAGTATTCGAGTTTTCTATGTTCCAACTTGGAGTGCAAATTTCTTATATAAATCATGTATCCACATCTGTCTCTATTAGCACACACATGATTATATTTATACCAGTTCAGCTAGGGCAACTCTAACCGATCTCCTATTCATTATTAGAGGAGGATAAATTCGGTTTTCCTCCTTTAACGTGCACCTAGCCGATCCCCAATAGCCGTTAGCGGAGGATAAATTATCCTCCTGCGTGTATCCCACCGCTATTTTTACTCTGCCCCTACCGTCAGGAGCAAAACTCCCGCGTCATTGTGTCGCCTCTCCCCCGCTACTGCCTCTTCGCCGATGACCGCCCGCCGGCCCCCGCTGCTATTGTGTTGCCTCCATTGGCCCTCGCCGCCCTTCTGCCAGACGCCCAGCTCGTTCGTCCACCGCTGTCATCGTCAGAATCGAGGTGAAACACCATCGTCGTCGCCATAACTAATTCATCGGATTGATTCGTTTTTTCTTCCTCTTCGGTGGCCACCGTTCCTGACCTTGCTTCCGTGCCGCTCCAGGTCATTTCCACACTTCACCACCCGCCGTTTGGCTGAAACAACAGAGGCTGGCTGGTGCATCACCACCACACCGCAAGTGTTCGACGAATTGCCTAGGTGAGTTTTTTTTTCGTTCGTTTCTTTTTGAACTGCCGTTTGGATTGAACCTAGTCGTTCGAGTTGTAGATGAAGAGTTTGAGGGAGATGGTCTTTGAAAACTCGTCGTCATCCGAAGAAGAAGAAGAAGACGAAGACTTTGAAACCGTTTTAGGCATGATTTTCATTGATGATATTTGGTGCCCTAGGAGAGGACCGCGGTTTGGACGCATACCCATCAACCGTGATAGAGCGGAGGGCCATGCCAAGATCATGACAAACTACTTTGCTCTGAAGCCAACTTATCCGGAGTACTTTCGCTAGCGCTTTCGGATGCACACAAGTATTTTTCTGACCATTGCAAAAGCCATTGAGAAGTATGATGGCTTGTTCAAGATCCGGAGAAATGCAAGTGGAGAGATTAAGTGCAAGCCCTCTGATGAAGTGCATTGCGGTTGTTTGAGTCCTGGCATATGGGTGTTCAGCCGATGCCATCGACGAATATGTCCGCATTTGTGAAGACACAATCTTGGAGGCCGTTCGGAGGTTCACTAAAGGAGTGATCGATGTTTTTGGACCTGAATAGTCGATAGCACCAACCGAGAAGACATCCAAAGGCTGATGACAGAGAGTGAAGCAAGAGGATGGTCAGGGATGCTTAGATCACTTGACTGTATGCACTTGACATGGAAAAATTGTCCTGCAGGGTGGAAGGGTTAGTAGAAAGGCCACTGCAACGATCCAACGATCATTCTTGAGGCAGTTGCATCGAAGGATATTTGGGCACGACATTCATTCTTTGGTTTGCCTGGCTCTGACAATGACTTGAATGTGCTATCGAGATCAACACTGTTTTCTAGGCTAATTACAGGAGATGCTCCTTGAAAGAACATGCGGTGCCCTCATGTTTGATTTTGGTAATTGATGACAATCTCTATGGACTAATGGTTGCCTTGAGTTATATTTGAAGGTTTTGTCCATAGGATTGTCTTGAAGTCCATGTGTTGGTTTCAAGGAGTTTATGAGATGGCCAAAGTGCTTTTCAAGGAATTATCCAAAGATTGGTCATGTGTGAGTTGAGATGGCCAAAGTGCTTTTCAAGGAATTATCCAAATGTTGGTCATGTGTGAGTTGAGCTTATTGCAAGCATGTCTTGAAGAAGAAGATTGTATGATCAGTCATGTTTACCTTCAAGACATCATCCAAATGAAGAGAGTTGAAAAGATTCAATGTTGATCAAGACTAAGTCAAGAGTGAATCAAGTTGATCAACTCACAAAGCGTAGAAGAAGTACCGAGAGGGATCAAGTGATCCCATGGTATGGTAAGCATTGTCCATTACGCTTTGTGTACTAACCCATGGTCTACGTGAGAGTTCTTTTTGGGGTTAGGTATGTTTCCATGGTCTTGCGTCAAGAGGAAGATCTCATACAACCCATGGAGGATGACATCAAGTGGTGATCGTCATCAAGTTTGCAGTGTGCAAGTTCAAGTGGAGCAACTCGAAGAGTGACTCACCCATAATGGAGTATGGGGGAGCAATCAAGCTTGAAGCTTGCTATCCATTGTGGTGTCAATGGAATTGTGAAGATGTGCCAAAGAGTGGCTCACCCATAGTGGAGTACGGGGAGCAATCAACTAGTCTTCATCGAGCCAACACAATCAAGAAAGGTGGTCCAACTTGAGGAAGTCAAGATCGTCATCATCTAGCTCAAGTGGACTATGTGCAAGGCAAAGGTTTGCCCTTGATAGGTCTTCTATTTTACCGGTCTCATAGTGGTAGTGGGGAGACCGGGTTGTAGGATCGATTGTCGTACTATCAAGGGGGGCTCTCTAGTGAGTAGCTTGATCGTATCGCTCGTCAAGAGCTCAAACCATTGCATCCTTGCATTATATTTCTTGGTTCTTGTTTGGTTCCATTTGTGAGTCTTAGAGCTTATGGTCATCTTGATGACAAGCTTGAGTTCATCGAAAATGGAGTTCGCATGCATCTTCTATGATGTTTTCGGTGTTGGAGGTTTTACTGGTCTTATCTGAGGAAGGGTTCTCATCATTTTATTATGGTCCTTTTCTCATTTGCTTATTATTGTTATTTCTCTCAAGATTGTGTTAGCCCTTGTCGTTAGCTTTCCAACAAACTTGGTTTCGTTGTATTCGGAGCTCGTATGCGAAAGTTGTGGCTATTTTAATATTGCCTGTTTTATACAGAGAGGTTGTACCGCCCCATGGAGAGGTTGTACCGCTTGACTGGTACAACCGGTGTTTGGAGCGGTTGTACCACTCCAGAATTGGTCCGGAGGTTGTACCGGTCATGTACCGCTCTACCACCGGACTAGTCTCTATTGTGGTGCGGTTGTTGGGTGGTTGTGGGCCAGTTGTACCGCTTATTGCCTGTTACCGGTTGTACCGGTGGTCACAGAGGTTGTACCGCTCCTATGTTATTCTGTACATAATGGGCAGATTTGTGGAGACCTATTTAAGGGGGTCTTCTTCCCCAATGGTTCTCTATCTCTTGAGCTTGTTTTTACCCTCATTGTTGACATTCTTTGAGCTTGCTAACTCTCAACCCCTCCATGGATTCTTGCTAGTTTTTGAGGGAAAAGAGAGAGATCTAGATCCACATTTCCACCAATCACTTTCTCCTCTATGTGAGGGGAACCCCTTGGATCTAGATCTTGTAGTTCTTGGTGTTCTCCTTCTTGTTCTTCCTCTCATTTTCCTCCCTAACATTAGTTGCTCCGGTGGGATTTGAGAGAGGACTTGGGCACTCCGTGTGCCCTTGCCATTGCATTTGGTGCATCGGTTTGAGTTCTCCACGCTGATACGTGGAAGTGAAGTTTGAGAAGCTTATTACTCTTGGGTGTTTGGGCACCCCAGAGCTTGTTCCTCTTGGGTGCCTTGGCGCCCTAGACGGTTGGTGTTGTTCGGAGCTCAATCATTTTGGTGTAAAGCTCCGGGCAAGCGTCAGGGTCTCCAATTAGGTTGTGGAGATCGCCTCAAGCAATTTGACGGGTATCGGTGACCGCCCCCAAGGGTTGCCAAAGTGTACGGGTTCGGTGACCGCCCCCAAGGGTTGCCATTTGTACGGGTTCGGTGACCGCCCTCAAGGGTCCCTTAGTGGAATCACGGCATCTTGCATTGTGCGAGGGCGTGAGGAGATTATGGTGGCCCTAGTGGCTTCTTGGGGAGCATTGTGCCTCCACACCGCTCCAAACGGAGATTAGCATCCGCAAGGGTGTGAACTTCGGGATACATCGTCATCTCCGCGTACCTCGGTTATCTCTTACCCGAGCTCTTTACTTATGCACTTTACTTTGTGATAGCCATATTGTTTCTTGTCATATATCTTGCTATCACATAGTTGCTTATCTTGCTTAGCATAAGTTGTTGGTGCACATAGGTGAGCCTAGTTGTTTTAGGTTTTTTGCTTGATAAATTAGCCGCTAGGTTTATTCTGCATTTGTTCAAGCCTAAATCGTAATTATTTTAAAATGCCTATTCACCCTCCCCCTCTAGGAGACATCCACGATCTTTCAATTGGTATCAGAGCCTCGTCTCTCTTTATTAGGCTTTATGGCCTAGAGAGTAAAGATGTCAACTAGGGGATTAGGATTCTCTGACACTCTTAGTTTCGATGGCACAAATTTTGATGTTTGGGTAATTCGCATGCTTAATCTCTTTAGGGTCATGGACCCAAATTTAGAGCGAATTGTAGATATGGGTTTTTCTCCTCCAAAGGATCCCCAAAGATTATCTTTAGAGGATGAGAAAAACTCTTATCTCAATGCTCAAGCTTCTAATGTGCTTTTCGATGCTTTGAGCAATGTAGTTATATTTCAACTCATTCCGTTCCGGGATGCTCATGAGTTGTGGACAAAGCTTCAAGATAAATATGGCGTGTCCAAGTTTTGTGGGGATGATTTTTCTCCCTCCACATCCGGCCGTATAGTCTTTTCAACTTCTTCTACTTCACCTACATGTGGTTTTCCACAAGGTAATGATATGGTGAGTAGTGTTGGTCATTGCAATGATGATAGTATGTTTATTGTGGATGATCCTTCATCACTATCTTATTGCAATGCTCCTTCTTTGGGCTT